ATATGCCTCGAAAAGACGGCTACCAGGCGTGCCGTGAGATTCGACAGTGGGAAATTGCCAGCAATTTTCCCCAGATGCCTATCATCGCCTTGTCAGCCAACGTCATGTCAGATGTCCAGGATAAATGTGTCGCAGCGGGATTCAGCGACTACGTCACGAAGCCAGTTGACTTCATCGACCTCAGTAGAGCTATGTCCAAGTTCTTCTGATCGCAACACTCTTGCCACTCTCTTCCCCTCAAGCAATTCTGGCGCATAGTCACCCCTCTTCCTCTTATTCTTTTTTTTTGTTGACCTTTTACACTCTACGACTGTTCACGATTTCCCTCCTTCATTCATGATGATACTACGGCAGCTTCTATTTTAGACCGGACAGATCTCTATAGGGTCCCCTCGATCTTCCACTACCAAAGACAAGCCTAGTCGCAGCTCAGTAGGGCTGACATAGGTCGAGGCACCTGGCACATGACCTTATTTAATTGGCATAGTTTACTTCTGGGCTATATGACTTTTTATACCAACAACAATTTTCCTGCCTCGGCCAGGGAAATTGTCTTCTGCATGCTACTGGACGTTACCTATCGCATTGGCGCAGGGTTCACAATGGTTACAGGCGATCTTTCATGCGCCTGTTGTCTGTTATTTTTACTTTTCATTCACCTGGGTTGAACGACTTGAGGGGGTTTCGGGAGGGCTCGAAGACTGGATATGGTGTTGAGGAGTTTTGTTTGCATTGTTCTATGTCTTGCTACCACTGTCTGATTGAAGGCTTCATTTGCCATGCGGGTTAAATGCAAGATAGCCAAGCGGCAGGTACAACGACGATATACATTTTTGTTCTTTTTCGGTAATCTTTTTGGCGAAGAATATGGGGTATGCATGGAAGGCGGACGAGCAGGATAGGTTGAATCTATCCAACCTTGTTCGATATTCATTTATACTTAGATAGACGCCGCGGGAAAAGAGGTGGCGGCGGTGCATTTTCAACATGGTGTTATACAATGCTCATGACGGGGTAAAAATTAAGAAATCAATCTAAATAACAACCAGTTGAACAACAATTCTGCGTGATTAGAATATCTGGGACTGGAGGAATAAACATGTTATTTTGTGATGCTACGCTACCACAAACGCTATCATAGCCCCCAAATAGCGAAATTTCAAAACCATGCCAGCATAGTTGGTCATTCTATCCATTGCTTTTCCGAATCCGTTCCAAATCATTCGTCATTAGAGTAAAGATATGAATATCATCAAAACAATTTGCCTCGCCTCGGCGGGCTGGTATCCGCTGTTCCCATGAAATTCAAGTCATAAGAGAGTGAGAATGCACCCATCCAAGTAAGAATATGATCAGTATACACTACCCCGAATACTTCGATCCTCCTTCTCAGCGCGATCCAAATCCTCAACAAGTTCAGCGTCACCGTCACAAGAGGCATCAGTAGATGCATCACCAAGACGGTTAGTCCGTGCATATTCATCCGGGCTATCCTTATCGCTCGTGTATGCTAGATGTTCGGGTCCGGCTTTGAGGAGGGGTTTTTGATTGTATGAAGGCTTCCCGCTTCTTTCGCCAACAGTCCTGTTTAGTTGCGCGTTCAAGGAGGCGATACGGTGTAAGCTTATGTTCTCATCCTCTGACGAGTCGTTGTCAGTCTCGGCTGCAGATGTGTGGCCAGAGTAGCTCCCGCCCCCATCGCGGCCAATATGTAGGTATGGCGACTGGATATATTCGCTGGCAGAGATGACCGAGGGAGTATCATTGAGGTCAGAAACGGATTTACCTTCATGGTTTGATGAAATGTCGATCTCTGGGCCATCTTCATCAGGAGCCCCCGGTGTGGCGCTCTCACTATTGGTGCCAATGCAGGCTAATTGAGCCTTCTGCTTCCTGCTGACGATGGTAATGATCTCGTCCGTGCTTGTAATTTTGCCGTAAGGTTCTGGCCCGCCGTTCTCGTGATCCTTTTTGCGCATAATCTCTAAATCCTCACGCTTAGCATAGTGGCGACTATGGTCACAGCCATTGGGACATCCGCCCCATCGGCGTGTAACAACAAAAGTTTTGGTGCGTGGAAGTTTCGAGCTGTCCTTGTCTTTGTCCTCTTTGTCCTTGCGCTCTCGCCGCAAATCGGACCAAGTTCGTAACTTGTTCTCTAGAAGGTACTTATTGTTTTCCTGCTTGCGCATGATGAGGAACTCGCAGTGGTTGATGTTTCGGAGATCTTCAAAGTACTCGACAGTGAAATGATACCATTTCATAAGAAAGACACGGGACATGAGTCCGTGGGTCACTAACACATGCACTGTTAGTAAGACGTTGAGTTGGTTGGTAAAATACGTACCCAGCACACAGACGCTGGGGAAATCATCTTCACCAAATTGTCGCCAGAGACTCTCATTGAATCCGCTCACACGATCGTAAGCATCGGCAGCGCTCTCTCCATTAGGTATACGGTAGAAGAAGTGGCCATAATCGGCCCTCTCTTGCCACATACGCTCCATTTCAGCGCTGCATGGTTGGAAGTTGCCAAAATCCTGTTCACGTAGCCGAGGCTCTTCGTAGACCTTGATGTTAGCTCGGCGGAAGGGCGACGGGGAGCCTTCGTCCGAGGTCAAGCTCTCGAGAATCCCTTCTGTTGTTTCACGTGTGCGGCGGTATGGAGAGGTAAAGAATTGGAGTGTGTCATCGGGACGGAGAAGGCTTCGGAGACGACGTCCGGCATCATGGGCTTGGTTCCAGCCTTCTGGTGTAAGTTTGACTCGGTGATCGGGGACGGTCTGGTGAATTTCGCGGTTCTCTTTAAGATTGTCAGCACGTGTTGAACAATGAGGGACGAGAAAGCGGGATCATTAACGTACTATTGCCTTCGGACTGGCCGTGGCGAACTAGAATGATCAAGCGTGGCTTGGTCATGATGCTTTGGGTATGTGGTATAGAGGGGTAGTCTTTAAGTGATTGATCTTGTCTCTGATAATCCAAAGTATGAAGTTGGTATTTTGGACTGCTGGAGCGGATTCACAATAGTTGTATAAGTTGGATGGAGGTTTTCAAGTTGTGAGACAGGTTGGGTTAAGACGGGATAGAATATGGCGGAGTAGGGGATAGATAGTTTTGCAATTGGTCAGCCAAAGTATGGGCAAGAGTCACCAATTATGAATACTAAAAGAGAAGAGTATGGGAGTTTTAGAAGGAGGAGCAGGAGCTAAGCTTCAAAAAATAATAATAAAAAAATGAAGAAAAGCTAAAGAAAGGTGAAGCGTGGAACGCAACGTCTTTTTTTAGTGAGGCTTGTCTAATCCCGTAGTCGTTGGCTCAAGCTCACGAGACATCCTGACCTGAAGCATCCATCAGAGTGAGGGCAAGTGCAAGCCCATGCCATGCAACCATGTTTCCGAAAAAAAACGCCCCGCCAAAAATGCCAGGATAAATCCCCCACCACCACCTCAGCCCAGCTGGAGGAAGGAAGGATGTGCGCACCTACCTAGGGACTATGTATCATGTATCATGCACCTTTAACCTTCCACCCGAGCGGAAAGGCGGCGCTGGGAAATGGAAGGGGATTCTAAGGGTGCTGTACTTTCGAGGCAGGTACCGGAACCCTCGTTGGGGGCCGGAGCCGCCCCGCCATCTGTCGACCGAAGCAGAAAAACAGCTTCTCAGTCGCCAACGGTCAAACCTCTAAGCACACAATGATTGACCAATGACAATTGAGGGCATGCTCAAGCTGGCTATCACACAGAGACAGAAACAGCCCATAAGAGTTCTTGGACGATGAACTAGTCTTAATCAAATCTTTCCGAATCCCTGCTAATATTACGAATGAAGCAAAAGCACAAGGGGGAGCTCCCCTCCCCATGGCACGATCTGGAGGAGGGGCCCGCAAACGGTTCTTGCTACCTAATCATGATTAAGCTAAAAGTGTACTGGGACTATCTGGCGATACAAGTCCGAAGACTGATACGATTCGGTGTTTGACGTGTTTATGACCTTGAGTTGTTCCGCCCGCGGACGGACATCGCATGGCGGCGGACAATATCCGTTGATATCTAAATCATATGATTTACCGTTCCCGTCCCCTTGGAACTGACTTGGTCCTTGTGTGCTCTCCCTTGTCAAAGATACTGAGAATCTGGCAATCTGGTGTTGGTCAGCCAGTCCTGGAGATCTACAGAGCCAGATTTAGTAATCCCGGCCGCTTTAGCAGACGATTTGAGTCACGACGGCACCCAAAGTTCATGTTCATGCCTCTCCCATGCATGCATTTCGTCTTGCTACTTTTCCTTTTTCTTGTTTTCTTTCGGCCCTCCCGTCGTCATGATCATGATCAATCTCGTGGTGTTTATTTATGTTTCGCCGGCTAATTACCATCTCTCGGATCTAGACGGTCGCTTGATAGTCTTGGCCCATCTGGATTCAATCTCATCACCTGAAGAATGACGGCTACAGCGGAGTATGGTGAGGTGATGTGATCTGCAACGGGAAGCGCCCAGCCGCCGATTGCAACATTGTCTCTGGATAAAGTCAGTCATGGGTAGACGATCTGATACTAACTCTGACCAGTAGCTTTTGTCTAGCATTTTCCTTTTCGGCTCCCGCCTGCAGTACTTATGCATTCTGCAGCGAAAATGATTACCTTTCCTGACTACGATCAGTCACATGTTCATCACGCAAATATCTCTCTGTGGCTTGCTGACGCGGCTTGGAACTTTTTTTGTGCCTGAGATGTCAATTCAACTGCCGCGCGCTTATCAGGCGACCCTCAGACACCCATTCCAGTGTGATCGACTTTTTTTCCCCAGCGGCTACTTAGGCTAATTCTTGGTAACCTTGTACCCAAATCAACGCCACTCTCATCAGATCCTGGCTAACATCCACTATCCTCGATTTGTCCTACCCATCAACAAACCAACACAACCATCTGGCATCTGCCGGCCATTGCTCTCTTCACGTGCCAACCATTTGACCGCTCCCTTTCAGAGGTTCTTGTCTCAATTAATCACTACCTCAACGGACTTCAATTCACCCGCCGATCCTCTGCCTATTCAGGCTATCTACCACGCCCGTCGACGTCTCATTCTCACGCGTGCCTCAGCCCATTCTCATCTCACCTTAGACCAGACATCGGATAACCAACATTTCTTTGACTCATTCTTTTCACCTCTTTTCTCCAAAATGTCTGCTCCTGGTCCCGAATCGGTACCAACGTCGGCCGACCCCCGATCCCATCGACCTACCAAGAAGCGCGCTCTTACGCCCGTCTCAGCGCAAGCCGCCACGGTAGAGGCCCTCTTCTCAAAGCCCGACCAAATCATCCGTATCCCCGAGTCCTCCACCTCCGGCTCCGGCAGTTCCGCCTTGCGTTCCGTCCCTCCGGAAATTGTCACCAATGTTCAAGGGTCTAGTGCAGGTGCCGGTTCAGGCGAGTTTCATGTGTATAAGGCCAGTCGTCGGCGCGAGTATGAGCGCCTGCGCAGTATGGACGAGGATCTTCGTCACGAAAAGGACATCGAAGAGTTTAACAAGGACAAGACTGAGCGCGATCGCAAAGACGAAGAACGCACACGCAAGAATCGCGAGAAGAGGGAGAAGATGAAGGCCCGCAAGGCTAAGAAGGGCAGAGGCCCTGTCACCACTGATAAGAAGCCCAACGCGGCACAGTCCAAAGATGACTCCCCGCAGGCGGAGAACGATACTGAGAAGGACACTGCTGATGCTGATTCTAAGACCAAGACCGAGCATGGTAAGGAAGAAACGGAATCAACGCCATCGATGCAACCTGCAGGACTAGTCATTCACGACGAAGACGACTAAGCGATAAGGAGTACAAAAGCCCAGCAGCCCAAGAAGTCGTGCACAGTTGCAACGAAATGTCATGGGAGAGGAAGGATACTTTATCAGATCAGATTTGAGAACTAGATTGCAGGAGGAAGAATGGCTCGCAAGGGCATCGCAAGTAGATGCAACAGTATATCCATCAACCAGGTAATTTTATATGATACCCATTTCTTTCCTTTTGAGAAGAGTCACCGGAGCTATATCATGCTCGCTCCGGCGCCCACTGTGTTCATATTTTCCTTGTTTGTCTATTTTGCTCTTTCGGCTAGTACAGAGGGGTATGACCAGTCCATCCAAACAGACATTCGTATAAGCAGCCCGAATTACACGCCTGCCTATCTTACTATCACTCACTCACACAGACACGTCAGAATTGTCATCTACAAACATGCTCTTTCTCTTTATTCTTCGCCGCCGCCGCCGCCGCCACCAATCTGCGCAGCCTTCTTGGCACTGCAAATGTCATCAACTCGGAGCAAAAGGCAAGCAGCCTGTTCAGATTGTCAGTATCTTCTGCTGTAGTTGTGAATGACAAAGGCAATATCGTGAAATGCTTACCTCAATGGCGGTCTTGATACTCTGGAGCTTGATAGCCTGAGGCTCCCACACTCCGTACTCCTTCATATCTGCGATGGCACCTGTGTCACCGTTGACACCCCAGGTGCTCTTACCCTCGGCCTGCTTGGCTCGGAGATCCGTCAACACACGGACAGGGCTCTTGCCAGCGTTCTGGACGAGAGTTCGAGGGATAACCTCAAGAGCATCTGCTACGGCCTTGTAGGGCCACTGCTGGACACCTTCAATACTCTTGGCAAGTTGACCCAACCTCACGGATACGGCCATCTCTGTAGCACCACCACCGGGCGATAACCGAGGAGAGAACATAACATTTCGCGCAACACCCATGGCATCCTGGAGGTTTCGCTCGATTTCGTTGAGAACATCCTTGGAGGGACCTCGGAGAAGGACTGTGCAGGCCTTGGGGTCCTGGCACTTGGTAAGGAATGTGAAGTACTCGTCTCCAATCTTCTCAATCTCGAACAAGCCGCATCGAGTACCGACATCGGAGTCCTGGAGATCCTCTACTCTGTTGACGATGGTAGCGCCGGTGGCGCGGGCTATTCTGTTGTTGTCTGTCTTTCGGACTCGGCGGAGAGCTGTGATGTTGGCCTTCATGAAGTAGTGTTGGGCAAGGTCTATGACCGAATTAGTAAGCTATGCTCCTCAAGGGTCATGAATTCATCAGAACGCACCAGACACTCCCTTCTCAGTAATGACAAGATCAGGCTTGACGGCAACAATAGCCTCGCACAGAGCCTTGACCTGCTCCTCCTCGATCTGCAGAATTCGGTTCCAGTCATCCTCCTTGGTAATCTCGATGTTGGTTTGAGACTCGCCCTTCTTGTACTCAAGGGGACAGTCGAGGAGAACGATTCGGGGGTTCTCAATGCGCCGGCGCATCTTGGGATGTGTGATATCCTTGTTGAGCATAAGACCGTCGAGAACTCTGCTGTCCTCAATCTCACCGCCGGGTACCTTCTCCACTCTGGCATATCGCTTGATGTCGACTTCAGTCTTGCCGTTGCCAGCCTCCCATGTCACAGTGCGGACAGCCTTAAGAGCGAGGTCGCACATCTGATCCATCCATCGAGAAACGAACTTAGTGCCAATTGAAGAAGAGATGAGCTGGTACATGGCCTTGTCGTCGTTGACATCGATCGGCAGAGAGATCTCTTCGATGATCTCAAGGGCGTCTTTAAGGGCTCGCTTGAAGGCGGAAATGATGACGACAGGGTGGATGTTACGGTCGAGCTGGGGAAGAGCTTGGGCGAGAATCTCACCAGCTGTTCAGATGGTGTCAGTGATATGTTCAGCCAGCATTGCAGTATAGCCATGCTCTCTTACCCAAGATAATGACGGTTGTGGTTCCATCTCCAACTTCCTCGTCTTGTGTCCGGCTGAGCTCAATCATGCTCTTCGCGGCAGGGTGGGAGACCTCGATTTCTCGAAGGATAGCATGTCCATCATTTGTAAGAACGATACCGCCCATAGGGTCGAGCAGCATCTTTAGCATAGCCTTGGGGCCGAGGCATGATCGAATAATATCGGCAACACTAGAATCGGTGGTTAGGGTCGGGCACGCGACTAGAGGACAGGGACAATGGCATACGTTTTGGCAGCAGCAATATTGGACAGCTGGGCTTTCCGGCCAGTCTGCCTCTCACCGCTGTTGGTGTCTGTAGCATCTCGGTCAGCCTCGATCTCATTTTGGAAGAGATACTGAAAGCTCCCCTCTCAGGCTCAGGGCCCAGGGGTTCGCCTTCTAGTGTGGGGGTTATATATTTTGTAGAGGCATAGACTCACTCATAACCACCACCGGAGCCTGCATGATGGGCGAGGTTTTCTTAGTGTTTCTTCGGCTCAACGGTACAATTCTCTTTCGAGCGATGGCAGAAAATTCGATCAAGCGTGGTTCGAAGGAGTGAAAGGTGCCGGGTTGTCGGTGTCGGAGGGGCAAAAGGCTAAAAGAACAGTTGTTGAGGGGCGGGCGCGCACATACAGAAAAGTTCAGTGGTGGATGTGGATATGGAGGATTTTTGGCGGGGACCTGGAGGCTCCCATCCTGCTTGCGCTCTCTCGGCTTTGATATTAACCCGCCCCGCCTTGCGTTTGCTTAGTAGCTCCCCGTCTACCTATGGTAACTAATTGCAATTTTGACCAGCTCATGACCTGTCAGAGAATCCCCTGGAAAACAAAGGTGACCAATCATATAAGCTAAGAGCCGCTGAGCTTTGGAGCTCCCCTCCATCAAATTGAGCTTGGAGTTGGAGTGGAGAAGTCAATTGTCCATGATACAAAACTTTCCCATTATAATTGTGGCTGTTTCGAGGCATCTACTTAGTAGCTACTCCAAGACAAGACATAACGCAGGCCGAGACATTGAAACACAAAATCAACCTCCTTCTTGTCTGAGTTAACTCTATTCTGATCCATTGCCATTACAGTGCATAATGGCTGCGAAGAGAGCAGTCCAATCCATTCTGCCTAAATCACAACCCCCAGCTTGGACAGCCTCAAAGCGCATCACAGAGTTCATAGCACACGTTACCCCTGTAACATCTCCATCACAGGCCAATTTCTACGTTGAGTCTCTCCTGGAGTCAGACAAACGTATGCGCAACGCAACGCACAATATCACGGCGTGGCGTATTAGAGGTGACGGTACTGGCCATCAACAATTCAATGACGATGGTGAGACGGGAGCCGGATCCCGACTCCTGCAGCTGATGCAGTCCATGGATCTTTGGGATTCTATGGTTGTGGTTACACGCTGGTATGGGGGTGCCCATTTAGGATCTAAAAGATTCAGATTGATCACTTCTGTGGCCAGTGACGCCTTTGCGAGAGCTGGCATGGTTGGGGACAAGAAGGATGATTCACCTAAAGGGAAGAAAAAGAAGTAGTGTGAAATGCAGAGTTGCGCTGGCTGACTATGAAAGAACAGGCAAGGTCTATATTACCTGTGTAAGCCATCTAAGTCTCGGCCAAACCTATTTATATGCTAACATCTTCACACCAGTTGTCAAGACCAAACCTCAGTCTCTATAGGACATTCTGTTTCCCCCCCATTCATTGTCTCAATCTTGTCAAATGCCGCCGTCACTCCAGTCTAATTCCAATCGGTATTCTGGCGGTGACGTTCATCTGCGTCTCACCTCAGCGCCTCGGTAGCAGGCAACCGCTGATGATCCCTGCCTCCGACTTGATATCAAGACCTGCTGGTCGATCATTCTCAATGTTACTGAACCTCGTTGCGCAACCCAGATGCTGCATAAGCTGTCTTGGATCGATGGTCCCCAACACCCGGATTGGGTATCGAGGTTCGCCCAGTATTGTCCTTAGGTACTTGAGGTGCGACTTTGACCCATTTACCTCCTTTCTTGGACTTGGCCTCGACGAGGCAAATGTCGCCTGACATGAGTGCTTGAACATAGTGCCAGTGATCCCGATCGCTGATAGCTTGCTCGCCGAGGCGATCCCACCAGGATTCGTCAATGGAGTAGTTGGGAGCATCCTCAATCCAGAGAAAGTCTGGAGGGAACTTCTTCATGAACCATGGATGGGGCGTTACTGCAAAGGTTGGGATACCCTTCTGGCTATATCTCCATTCGAGTGTCAGTTGGCGTGTCGCCTCTTGGGTATAAGATTCCAGGTTAAGTCGCCCGAAGTCCCCAAGTTGCGCAAACGCATCCGACTCGGACGGCCCTTGGCTTCTGGCTTGAGGAGCGGTCAAGGGCGGGTCCCATTCCTCCTTGATCTTCTTGATCTTAGACGTGGGAATAGCAAACACCATGGTAGCATCGGTCGTGTGATACTTCTCTGGCACAGGGCCTTTGATGTCCAAAAGTGGCTTGACAACCTTGAACCATGTCCATCTTTGTTGCTGTTGAGGACTTCCGCACGTGCTTCAAATTGGCAGTCAGTGTTGTGTTCATATTCACCCCTGAAGGTAACTCACACGTTTGCCTCATATAGAGTGATGCTGCCTTTTCGGACATCTAGCTTGAGAGCATCCAAAGTATCTGCGATCTCAGCCGATACTTGACTGTTTGTACCAAGGCTCACACTCCGCTTCAGCATCTTGTTCCTCACCATGTCATGCTTGAAATGAAGTGAGTCGAGTTCAAGTTTCCAGTACCCGAAGCGGCGGCATGCCCATTCAAGCCACGCCATCAATCCTGCCGAATTTAGAGGAACAATTAGAGACGAGTCGTTTTTGTTAGGAAAGGGCTCAACACGCATGAGGCATTCGGAAGGAAGATCGAGTATCGGGAAGGGAGCATAGCGGTTGTTGTTGGCAGATCCAGTAATTACATGGAGACGCTCACTAGCTACTCGTCTAGGGAAAATTGTAAGTATGAATTACCAACATGGATATATGATGATGAACACTCACACCGGAACCTCCCGGGCCCTGATATGCCGAGACCTCTTCATAAGAAAGTCGGCTCGGCCAGTGGCTCCAGCCGCCGCGTCGTTGATCAGTTCGTGGTTGACCATCTCCACTCCCTTGCGATCGTCGACTCCTTTGGAGTGAAGACGAGAGAGTTCAGGCATCATATGATGAGACACATCCATTCTCTTCATCATTCCACTGATCGTCATGGTATCCATAGGTTGCGGTCCAGGGTGTCCCTGTGAGCCTTGTTGAAGTGCCTCTTGCGTGGCATTCGTATGTGCTAGGTTGTTGGCAAAGCCCATGGCGATGCCCTTTCGGAGCTTCTCGCGAACAGACAGAGTGCTGAGATGTTCCTGGGAAAGATCATGGTTTGTGTATCGAAGAAGAGTGGCTTGGTTCTCATCCTGTCCCCTTTCAGCTTGTTGCGGGTACGTTCTTTGACGGTTGGCGGCAGGACGAAACGGATAGCTAGCAGCGGAAGATCCAGTATTGGTCCTTGATGGCCCCGGGTCCGGTTCCACGATCTTAGGAAATTTGGCCTCATTTGACTTGCGCTGCGTGGCGGACATGTTCGAGAACATCGGCCGGTGGGATGCTGCAGGGTCTGTTTCTCTCATCGTTCCTCCCGGCGACTCAACAAGATATATAGCCCGGCACCTCTTGGTGTTTTCGGGTTCAGGTCGTGGGCTGAGCAAATGCTTGCCCGTGGTAGTTAGCAAGCTCACCATATTTGTAGCAGCGGAGGCAAATAGAGTGTTGGAAAGTTGTTTGGGACAATAGAGTTACTGCACACGCTTGTCTCCACTATAACACTACGGTATGGGGGATGAAGGTATCACGAAGGTGCGCAAATGAACAACAATGGGATGAAAAGAATTGTTGAATAAGAGAGACAATGGATGAAGAAGTGTGGAGCGAAGTTGCCTTTCGAGAGGGAAGGCATCTTGAAGATGCGCTGAATCATTCACTTCCTACCACTGCCCGGGGTGAATGAAGGCATTCATTACAGTTACGAATAACTACCTATAAGAGCGTGGTTATAATAGAGTTCGTGAACTTACATAAATCTGCAGCTACCTCTTTCTTTTGAGAACACCACCACAGTGTTTAACTACCTAATCGGCCAGCTGCGTCCTGTAAAGTTGGCTTGTGATTGTTGACCTCCTCAGCCAACCCATTCAAAGCACTAAACAAATGCTTCAGAATTGCCTCTGTTGTGACGCAAGTAATGATTGCCTACAATCTTCTCAAATGTTTGAACGAGCCGACTACAATATCGTTGCTTTGTTGCCAAAGCGTAAGCAAATATTGCTGTTGTGGTCAAACGGTGCTGCTCACTTTGCCAAGCATGGAGTCGATGAGGAAATGCCCCTATCCGCAAAAGGTGGTTACACAAGATTTGTTTTGACCAAGGATATTGACTTTAAGAAGGACAGGTGCCTCACTAAGGATTCTCACTGTGATTCACGGTCAAAACTTGCTTAGAAAGTGAACAGACCCAATCTAGCTACTGGAGCTGATACAATATACTAAACTATTGAAGAGACCACATTAGTGACTTTTTGCTTCACAATATAGTAGATCACTCCTCTATAACATATCCCAAACTGACATATTAATGGTAATAAGTCATTATGATTAACTAATATCTTGGGTTTAGGCTCCGAAAAAGACGAGCTGGCCCATACATCGGGACAGTAAATCTCTTTCAGACGATTCTTTGCTGGAACACTTAACAAAGGTGATCATCATCACTTCTTGAATAGAGCACTAGCCACCTGACAACAAAGTGTATGTCTCCACATCGATGCAAGTCGCCAAGCAGGCCAATTTGGACTCGTCTTGGCGGAAAGCTCGCCGTGATCGGAGTAAAGCTCTTTTCTCCCCTCTGAACTGGTGATGATTTCATACGTCTGCAGAAGAGTTTAACATATAGAGGGCGTGTACGAACGCTATACACTCTGCAAATTAGCTTCCTTCGAATGATCTTTCTCTGAATGAAGAGCGTCAGTATGCCCTCGACGACAGAATCACAAGTGCTATTCAAATTTTTTCATCAGGCATAAACATGCAGGAACATCGTCTATATCTTATTCCACAAAGCTTCCCTTGCATCACTGCCGTCATCCGGCCTGGTTCTTTCCATTGATGGAAGAACTTTTAGCCAAGATCTTATCTGATGGAAATGATACAAAGCGTCAAGAACCGGGGATTCGGGATATACGGACAACACAGACAGGCTCCGCAAAGGTCAAGCTGACGTAGTCTATTGTCACGTACCTGAATAAAAACTCATGTATACTGTTATTGGTTAATTTGCTTCCTCTGGGGACTTCCTTGGTTACCTTATACAATTGGAGGAACTTACAGACTCAAGGCAATACGTGGATATGACAGGGCACCAATTCAGTGCCCTATCTTTGCATAAAAGAGTAATCAACAGCACCATTCTCAGATTCTATTCAGATGAGGTATTAAAAACTCAGCCATGCTATGACAACATTGCTGAACTAAACGTCCCAATGCCTGTCGATCCCCATCTGATAACTCTCAAGAACAAGCTTAATGTTACCCTTACCCACCAACTATCCACTCAGCGTCGGCACTCATGCTAGATCCAGCAACCATATGTGGGGGTTTTATCAATCTCATCTAATCTCTTACAATATCCTCTGCCCACGATGGATATAAAAAGGGCACTAGCAAGTCTTCAAGACTTGCTTTCCAAGCTTCTTCCTCTTCGTCTTTTTCGGCTCTAAAAATGAAGTTCACCACTATTGTCAGCTCAGCTTTGCTGGGCTTTGCTTTTGCTGGTAACACTACTACCCGGAAAACCACCTACGACTACATCGTAGCCGGAGCCGGAGCTTCGGGTCTGGTTGTTGCCGAGAGACTTGCCAATGCTGGTCACAAGGTTCTTCTCGTTGAGCGTGGTGGTCCTTCGTTCTACTCAACGGGTAACCGTGATGACTTGATGAAGTGGAACAAGACCGTCACCGCATACGATGTTCCAGGCATGGCCTACTACACCGATATCTCACCGACCATTCAGTGGTGCACAGACATTGCTGCCTCAGCGGGTTGCTTGCTCGGTGGATCTACCATGTTGAACGCTCTCATGTTTGTCAAGCCCCGAGCTGCTGACTTTGAGGGCTGGCCTAGGGGATGGCAATGGGAGGATGGAGTGTCTGATGCTGCCAAGAGCGTTTTTGAACGTATGCCTGGGAGCATTCTTCCCTCAGCCGATGGAAAGCGTCATGATGATGGTGCCTTTGAGGTTATGTCAAAGTTCCTTGAGAGCAATGGCTGGGATGAAGTCAATGCTCTAGAGAATGTCGAGGCAAAGGATAAGATCTTTACGCATCCTCCTTGGCTAGTAAGTTCAATCTCTATACTTGGTAGAAAGCTCTAACATCACCTAGATCAGCAATGGACTTCGAGGTGGTCCAGTTCGTGATATTCTACCCGCTGCACAAGCCCTTGACAACTTCAACCTTCAGCTGCACGCCAAGGTCATCCGTGCTGTCCGCAAGGGCCCTATCATTACTGGCATCGAAGTGGAGCATGACGACGGTTCTCGCGAGATCATCAAGCTGAGCAAGGGTGGTTCCGTGGTCCTCTCATCTGGCACCCACTCGACACCTCGAATCCTCTTCAACTCAGGCATTGGACCAAAGAAGCAAATCCGCATTGTCCAGTCCGGCTCTACGAACGTAAAGCTCCCTCCTGCCTCCCAATGGATCGACCTTCCCGTTGGCCAGCGCTTGAAGGACCATCCCATTGTTGTCGTGGATTTCCAGACTAAGAATAAGCTTCAAGCCCTTCCCAAGGAGGCATTCACTGAGCCTGACGATGAGACTGTTGAGCTGTTTTCTGAAGGAAGTGGTCTTCTCTCGCAGTCAGCTCAGCGTCTTAACTTCTGGAAGAGCGTCGAGGGCAGTGATGGCGTGACCCGCTATGTGCAAGGCACAGTCAACGCCCCTGAGAACAACACCGTCTCAGCCAAGGTCTATCTCACCCATGGTCTTACATCCCACGGAACCCTCGAGATTACTCCTGAGGGCAACACCAACATCACACAAAAGCCATTCCTCAACACCGAGGGTGACCGTGATGCTCTCAAGACTTTTGTCTCCGAACTTCTCAGCTACGCGCGTAAGCCTGGTAGCGTTCTGAGTGTGCCTAGCAATGTCACCGCCGACACTATTCTCGAGGTTTCGTACAGTGGCAACCATCACCTCGGGTCGGCTAATATGGGAGCCAAGAATGATGGCAAGAGCGTCGTTGGGCCTGACACCCGAGTTTGGGGAACCAAGAACCTGTTTGTTGTCGATGGTAGCATGCATCCTGAGGTTCCAACTGGAAATACCCAGGCTTCCATTATGGTTGCTGCTGCACACGCTGCCAACAAGATCTTGGCTATCTCCTCCAAGCGATACTAAAAATATTCATGCCCTTGTGATCAAGGAGAATTGGAGAGTGTCGAATGTATTAGATGTATAGTATAGTTCTGTGCCCACCATAAAGAAACAGAGAAAAGCTAGATCTAGAGCTCACAGCCGTTGAGAAGCAACCTGATAAAGTCCACGGTCTTAGAGTGAAAAAGAAGCCATTGCGCAAAACTACCAAGTGTAAGGCTTTGTAGAACTATCTCTTGCGTCGTTGATCATGATTCGTAAAATGCTAACTTAAATGGCCTATTTTAGAGCCATCCCGCCAAATACTCGGTCCAGTTCTGCACCTTGGTCCTCTGTCGCATTCGTGTTCGTTCCGCTCTGAGTATTTTGATGCTCCGGTACGTTCCCAGCACCTTGTTGCTGCACCGGTGTACTCCTCTCAGGCTCCAACATGTGCATCTCGCTATCGAGCCAACCAGGCGCGACTCTCCTCTTCTCAGCGAGTTCACGTGCCTTGATCTTCTCATCAAATTCTCGGAGTTCACGCTCTGCATCCTCTTGCATCTTGGTCACGTAAGCTTGAAGTGCGCGGCATGAGGCGATGATGTCTTCTGGGTGTGCCGCATGACCAGAGTTAGATACCACGTATTTGGGCTTGGGTTGGCCTGCGGGGTTATCTGATGCTGCCTCGATGCCCAGGGATGAGGGTGGGATGTTTGAGGGCATAGTCTTGTAGTTGTATGAAAGTGTTGTCGCTGTTGGAAGAGACACAAATGGAGACACCGTCAAAGGGACTTGTTCCAGAAGGGGATGGGATCCTGTTGTTGAGTTAGCATTATATCATGAATCGTGCATAAGTGAACCCTACGCTTGTTGTCGTGCATATTGACAATTATACGCAATCTTGCTGTCTTTGAATATCGGCCCAAGTGCTTGTATATGGTCTTTCAGATAGCTGGCTTTCGTAATATTTTGTGATAGTTCCTGTGTATAAGAGCAGGGGAATTGAAACCGTTTGAAGTAGAATGTGTAAGTCAATTCAACGTTGAGGTCAAGCGACGTGCCTACGTCTTGGCGAGTCACTGACGCAGCGATAAGCATCCTTATCGATAAGCCTCGACCTACGATAAAGCTCTCCCACCTTCGCAATGCATACATTTTCTTCAGCTGCCTGGTGCCCTCCACTGCAAACAAACCAACCTCACATCAAATACTCAACCATGTTGCCCACGACAATCCGCACACCACCTAAGGCGGATGAATACACGCCTCTGGCCGAATATCAGTCTACAACCCCCGAAAGCTTCGTCAATGGAAAGCCTGTTCTTCACTACCATCTCGAAGGCGCAAAGGCATGGATCCCCAAGGCGCAATGCGGTAGTCTAGCTCTATTTCCTGCGGACTCGAGCGAGAAGCCTAGTGCTCCTGAAGGCGACAGCATAAATGGCGATGTCGAGGAGCTTGTAGAGCAGGCAGTGGATGTCTTTGTGAACTCAGAGCAAGTCTACTATTTTTACTGGTGTAACTCAAACTAACATCGCAAAGGGCCTTGACTATCTTCAGTCCCAAGGTCGAGGCTGGTGTCTCAATTCCTTATCCCTCGATATCCATCCACGCGATCAAGCAGCTAGGTCCTGAAACAGATGCGCCGCGCACCCAAGCCGTATGGATGCAGCTTGAATTCTCGGACGGCGGTGCCGAAGACGACGATTTCAGCACAATAGATCTCACCATCATCCCACCTAAATCAGATTCTGAGCCCAGCGCCGCTAAGCAACTGTACGACGCCATGGCCAACTGCTCCGACCTTCACCCTGACCCCAATGATGGGGAAGAGGATGAGGATGAATACGACCGTATTGTCTTCGAGGGAAGCGAGCAGCACCAGGTCATTGAGGGTTTCACAGGCGTTCTGCGTGGCGCTAGCAATGGCGGCCTACCGCCTCCTATGCCTGGTAGCGGCGGCTGGATCACAGCGGATAACGTGAACGAATATTTCGACGAGGATGGCAATTGGATCGGACCCGGCGCTGAGGGTCAAGAGGAAGAACTGGGAGAAGGCGCAGGAAGAGTGCGAGATCGCGATGAAGCTGAGGGCACTGATGCAGCTGAAACCCCAGCCGTTGATGATCCCGAGAACAAGCGACCACGAGTGGAGTAATAGATGATACCTCACAAGAGTACATGGCAGGGCGTTATGGTATTAAAGACAAAACTAATCGATGCATTACGAGTTTCAGTTTGATATAGCAACTCACGAAAAGAATTTTTTCACAATGCCACCAGTATAAATACGATCTTCATTAAGATTACGTCCGAAGGGTATATATCCAACGAGCTTCTACCGAAGCTACCTACAGATCAATCCAATACAAGTCCAAAAGCTCCCGGTAAATCCAATTCCCAGAAGTAAGTGCATAAATTAGCCTGCCGATGTTACATGAGATGATAAATAAGTCTTCGACAAAGAAAAGAAACCCCGAAAATGAAAAATAAAATACTTCCATTTACATGCGTAGACACCGTCCCTTCGCATCCACAGGCGAACTCTTCAAAAATCCATCCGCGTCATATAATCCAATCGACTCAACGCTCTTGCGCTTACTATCGCGTTTGCTTTCAGCGATGAGCTCACTCACAGTTCCAAGTTTGGTCTTGCTCGATGCTCGGCTCAAGTCGCGAGTATCACGTCCCATGTTCGTGCTCCTTCGTGTCTCTCGTAGCCCACTTGATGTCGATGATGGTTCTTGATTCTCTTTGCCCTCATCAATATCATCTTCGCGGATTTCAACTCCTAAATTTGAACGATTGCTGCGGCTTTGTGGTAGTGGACGAGTCGGCATAGGCGGTACAACTGATCCCGAGGAGTTCTTGTTAGGACTTCCGAGGTTGAGATAGTTTTGGCGACCAGACATGCTAACTCGAGGCGCAACTGGATTTATAGTTCTTCGCGAAAAGCTACTCGTCAAGTTCAACATCGGCAGTGTCGGCGAATCAGGTTCGTTGACAGAAGATGCTAATGAGTTACCGCTGTAAGAACTAACCATGCTGTTCATCCTCCTGAGCTCCATGATCGAGTTTCCGAGGGATCCCATGCTCGGTACAGTTGGCGGTGCAAGGTTCGGCATGTCCTTCTTCGAGCGTGAGATGGAACGCCGAAGGGGTGATCCTGTAGATATTGCGCTTGGGGAGTCCATCGGTGGCTCATCATGATATATGGTATTCGCCGTTGAGGACATTTGTCGCAGATGTTGTGAGAACTCTCGTCTCGGCATTGGCGATACTGGCTTTGGCATGACGATCTGGTCGACTTGGGCGATATGTTTTGGTGGCTCAGGGAGTGCTCTCTTGGGTGCGGTGCCCATTAGTAACGATAGCATATCCTGCTCGTCAAAAGGCGAAGAAGTCATTGTCGAGGGGCTCGGTACTGTCGCCACGCTATGTCTGTTCTCTTGCAGCAACGGTCTCACACGCTCCGGTACTTCAGGCTTGGGGCTCTCACTCATCCGGTCTCCCAGTGTCAGTGTGCTATCTCCCTCGGTAGTCGTCACAGATGGTGTCAGGATGCTGGTGTATGAATTGCTGACAGGGAACGCAAGAGCAATACCATCTTGATCGCGTGAATGATAGGTATCATTGCGCTGGAATCGCTCTGGTGGTGGTTGCAAGTATGAGGAGATAGGAAGGCCTCCAACAGCTTGTGTGCTTACAAACGAAGGTCGAAGTTGTCCTGTTGTGTTGAAGATAGATTGTCCGCCTGGGATCGATATACTCAAATTCCTTCCCCTTTTGTGTGAAGCTCGGTTTCCAAACAATGATCCTCTGCTTTCTGAGCTCATAACTCCAGGTGTCTTTCGCTCGATAAATGGATCTGGCTGGTCCTTTTCTTCGGGGTCATTGGCGCTGTACAGTGTCGAAAGTGAACTTGATGCCTGGCTGTCTTGTGAGGCCCGTCTATCGGGGCTATCCTCTTTAGCAGACTGTGTCTGAGAACTCTGCTTTTGAGGAATTTGCTTCTCGGGGCTTGGGTCTTCCGGGGCGTCCCATTGACGCCCTCTCATCCGACTTGGGCTTGACAACCCTCCTGGCAATACGAGCTCTTGCGTCGCCTCCGCAATTAAGCTGTTTGCAGCACTTCCAATCGAGCTAATAGAAACCTGTCGACTCTGCGCATCTGTAGGTACCGCATGGATAGTAGCTCTCTTGGTAGGGCTCGGCGGGATCCTCGAGATGCGAACTGTTCCAGTTGTGTTGGTTGAGTCCTCAGATGACATGGTCTTGTGGCTATGTGGTGTTTTTGTAGGAGAGTTCTTGCGTGGTGTGCTTCTCACTGATGAGATCTTTTGTGGTGAGCGCTTCGTTGGTGAGCTGCGCGAGTTCTTGCTTGGCGAACGGCTCGTTCCGTCTCGAAGTCGCTGTTCTGTACTTCGAAGGATATCTCGAAGGTCTGTATCCGTTACAGAAGCCCGTACACGAGCTCTTGAGGGAGCTCGCACTGGACTCGTCTGAGCCTCTTCTTCTGGCACAGGTAGTTCAGGTGCAGTTTTGCTTGGCTTGAGGGTCTCGACACTTTGTCGCTTCTGAAATTTGATCCCTTGCTCAAGCTCCTGACTATCTTGTGCCTTTTCTAGGTCATCATCCGTCATAAGTGTTGGAATTGTTGGAGTTCTTCCCAGCCATCCATCTCGACTGAAGAGGCTATCGCGACGACTCCTGCTAACTCTTGGACCATGGAATTTATCCTCCTCAACCCAACTACTCGATCGTCCTCGTTTTGCGTTTCCACCGAAGAAGGTAAAGCTGTTATATGTCGGGAGTGGTGGTAATACCGGTGGTAGTGAGAGTGAGAGTCGACTGACTGATCTCGACATGGCGTATTTGCGCTTGACCAGTCGTTTTGTAAAGATGGATCGTCTATGGTCCTCGACATCTTCCGACACTTGATATACAGTAGTCGCGTCCTCTTTATCTCGAGCCTTGACGCGCCAAGTAAGAAGAAAGCCGATCGCCGCAAAGAGAAGGATTGCACCACCGATGGAAAACGTGAGGATCCATCCTAGACTAAGCCCACCAGCTCCACGAATGGCTCTGCGTGAAATATTCGAAAAGTCCATCATTATTCACACTGCCGTAGCTGAGTCGTGAAAAATCCTTAGCCAGCAGCAGTGATTCATGAGTATCGAGAATTAAAAGTTCAGTACACGAGGCTTGAAAAGGACAGACAACGTGAGATGGCGGAAACCAAATGAAGGAGAAACCCTTCAAAGGAAAAAAGCCCGCTTTCATCTTAATTCTTGACCTGCTGGTCGACGTTTTTGCTGAGGTTATTTCCAGGGTCTCAGTTCAATATCATGAGGAATGTGTTGCTAGGTGTAACCCATTCCAGCCTCAGCAAACCACGACACCAGCTTCACGACACTCTAAGATAGTTGCACCGACTTGGCTTCGGAAAATTCAAGAAACTTTCGATTAATTCGTCATTTCGACGGGTATATAATTATGAAGTGTAAACGGTAAATCATGGAGTTACAGTCTGTTTCGAAACAAGGAAAACATATGGATTATCACACCGTTTTTCAGCTGGGAATATCGGGAATACGTAATCACCAGGGAGATTACTCCTCGAAATTGGCTGTACGAGTTGTGATCATTCATCATTCCTGTATTTGTATCGGGTTGTTTCTCTCTCTAAGTTTACATGTTCCCAACTCGTGGGCTGCCATTGTCCTCCTATGAAGAAAAAAAACCTCCAAGCCAAATGCTCCTCTTCCAATCATGCATAACATACGAACACCTGGAACCAGCCAGACAATAGAAGCAAATGTTTTTGTCCTTTTTTTGTTTTCCTTTAATCTCCTTTGTACATGTTAGAAATATCGATGTCCATGTCCATGTCCATGTCCATGTCCATGCAGGTGGGCTCCACGACGTCTCCTCCTAGGTGGTGCTGCTGAGGGTGTAACAACAGCAGTTGATGTAACAGTAACAACCACAACTTCCTCTTGGAGATCAGTCACATAGACCACTTCCTCATCCCAGAGGATCTTGCTCACGAGGTTACCGTTTGTTACAAACTGTGTGCTGAAGTAGCTCTTTGTGTCTGTCACAGGCTGAAGCTCAGGCGCTGGAGTGGTTGTAGGTGCCGAAGCAGGGGAAGGCTCAGCAACCGTAGACTCCTTGAGTGCAGCCGCGCCCACATCTCCAGCGTCAATTGTCGGGATGAGGACTTCGTCTGTGGGCAGAGATGGCTTGTGTTCAACGGATGATGGAACATCTTTAGCAGTGGTCTTGGAGCTTGGACCAGGAGCCGGAGCCCCATAGGCTGACGACACCTTGAAAACTTGACCAGGAAGAGGCGAGGCAGAGTTCTCTGGTCGGTCACCAGGAGAGTAGGTCAATGTGGGTGCATGAGCACCACCGGTTGGGTCAGGCTTCTCGACATCGGAGCCATCTCCATAAGGAACTCCATCGCCGCCAGGTAGCTCTTTCATAGGACCCTTCACATCCTCGTTGGCCAGAGCTTTGGGAAGCTTCATCTCGCATGAGGTGGCCTTCTGTTCGCTAACAACGTCGAAGAGAGGGCAATCCTCAATTCTTCCTGTTTCGCTGGTACAGGTATTGATGGCATCCTGAAGAAACTCTTCCTCCCAGCCCATAATGAAATCCGCATGTAAACCGTAGCCTAATAGGAAAGGTCAAAAAAATGTACTATTTTGAGACATGAGCTTAAACATACCGGTAGTGTCTCCGTTGGCAAAGACAAATCGGCCGTTGCGATCGGAGAAAGCGGCCGTGTTCCAGATCACCTCATACATGAGACTGGGTAGCCGGACAGGGTACTCCTCGGGGCAAGTACCTGTCATGACGAGATCGGGAAACGCGACGTGGTCCTTGTGGTTCTGGCTGTCAACAGCATCACCGCCCTTCCAGCATGATGGGAACATGATTTCAAGACGAATGCCATCCGCACAGTTCGCATCGAGGTAAGCCTTGTCGGGCATGTAGTGGCGATAGAGTGTACCTTCGGGGGATTTTTGGTAGTTCAGACAGTTGAATCCAAGTGCCCGTTGAGCTAGATCGCTTTGCGTGGTCTGACCGAGAGCTTGCCACATAGACTTCTCCGGGTCTGGCTTGCTTGGATCACCGATGGTGTAGCTTCTTCGGTCATTTGAACCAGAGAGCATTCTGAAGTCAGGAGGGAAAGCAGTCACGTTCTCTCCAAAAAGGAGGTAGTAACTATAGGACATTAGCTTCCAGTTTATGATGTTTTACTATTCAGGATCATGGGTGTTGCTTTCGAAGATCCCTGAGGAAATACTTACGCAAGCATACCTCCCACTTGAGGAACAAGCTCAAACTCTCCAGAATCGCCATCTTGGAAATACAAAGCAGGATGCCAGTAAGAAGACTTGTCTTGTGTTACTCGACATGATGTACAATCGGCATCCAGGAGTTGTTCGGTGGTGACGGTTTCGGCGAAGTCTGTACGATATTAGCGAAGTTCTTTGGAGGCCCCACTGCTTGCTGTATAATGGCACGAATAGCATCACAGAAAGGTTTCATTGTTCAAGACTCACTGGAAGACCCATGAATTGAGTGGGCATGCTTAGAAACTGTGCCAGGATCGACGATGGGATCAATACGAGCAAGTCCCACACGACCAGGGCACTCCATGCGCCAGAAAGCATGGGCGCTGCCTACAAGGCCAGCAGAAAGAGTGATGAGTGATTTGAGCATCTTGATGGTATTTGCCTATTCAGGCTTGAAGTTCAGCCTTCGAGAGGCGATATTTGAAGGAGTGGACGATGCAACGAGGCGATCTGAATGAGAGATGTTAGAATTGGTAATGATGATGAAAGAGTGTGGTTTCATAGTGAGAAGTGCTTGATTTGAAGGAAGGCGCAAGCAATCGTCCAGACTTGACAAAGGAGGGAAATAGCATTGCTGTCGAGCATCAAACGGAAGGAGGGGCTCAGACGGAAGCCAGCTGGCAGCGGATAGCCGCCGCAGGTACGGCTCAATGCGTGAAAATGGAAGAGGCATTTTTGAAAGACCGTTTCCCTAAGGAGCATTGAACAATATTATGTTCTTTGTGTACTTTAAAAAGACAGATGCTTTTTTTTGGGTCGTTGTAGTCGAGTTCCGATCATGGTAAAGTGAGGGTATAAGTGTAAGAGGAAGTGTACTCACCGTCAACGTATTGTGGAGTTTCAGTCAAATCGATGATGAAGTTTCTGTAACCCTCCAAACTCCCTTTCCGAACAATATTGATTCAAAAAGAAACGAAAGAAGGGATCAAAGAGGAAATATTGAAACCAAAAGCTGTAATGGCTGGGGATACCTTTATTGCTCTTGACGGTCGCACACTCTTGCGAATAGTCTGGCCAGCCCCGCTGAGAATCCGAGACCCTGAATTCCAACGCGTGGTTCAGATCCCAACGTCGAGGTCACTGCCACACTTCCGGATTGAGCCACGGGGTCCTTTGATGGTGCTGGATTGAATCAAGGACAAAGAATGCTTTGTCCAATAGTGCCGCTTCCGGTTTATTGACGCCAACTCCCGCACAATCGGTTGACTTGTCTCAGCGTAAAGTGCTTGACAGACGCTTCGGGAAGTTTTCGTCAGAAATTCAATTAAACTGAACCAGAAGAGTCTCGGTAGTGGAGAGCAATGATGTCGACAGTTCAGATGAAAGCCGTTTTCGAAATAAGCGGTTGACAAGCCTCGTTGATAAACTTTAGGGAACCGTTGGAGCCTATATCAGCCTACCGTTTTTGTAACGACTTGACGATCAACGGTTTTCACAAGGTTCGGTAGATCCAGGCAACGTTATTGCAGAGGAATGGTTGTGATACAAGCGTGATTCTCCCAAGCCTGGTAAGTCGCGTTCCTTCCGCAAAGCGCTTCACCTTTTAAGACCTCGAGCTGTCGAGGTGATACTCTTCACAACACAGGAACCAGATAATCGGGGTTTTGAATGATGAACGAATGAGTTTGAACGGGCAGAATCGCAAGGAACGTGGGAATGGTTGAAACCAGAAAGGAGTGTAGATACGAACGTCAAAGAGACGGAAAGAGAGAGTTGAATGAGTGTGAAGCGAGCCAGCCCGAACTTCAAAAGAGTGGATGGATAAACCCCGAGAATAAAAGCAATCGAAAAGGAATGGAATAACCAAAGGGAAATGCACAGTTGGAAAGATGGAGAATGGAGAATGGAGAATGGAGAGGACGATCGTCCGCGAAGTGGGAGCACACGCCGCTAGAACATGGCATTGACAGGCAACGCAAAGAGCATGGGGTGTTGGTTCTAGCCCGGGGGCAATTCAGTTCATCTTGGCACTCAATGGAGCATTTCTCCTCTGAGAGGGGAGGGGATAGTTTGGTTGTGTTGCAGTCAAAATTGCATCGGTTCCAAGGGTCAACCTATAACGCACAGGGGTATTAGAGTGGTCCTGCGTCGTGATACCGAACTAAGAAGAATACTCTGGGGTCATTGGCCGATCTTGAAGGTTGTAAGCGCTGGTAGGGGCAAATAGCATGTCGTAAATACCTCTCCATGGATGAACGGCACGCGATAAATGCAGGTACAAGGCACACAACAGCTGGTGGTCGGAATGAATACATGGAGATCTCCAATGCTGTCCCTGGATAATGCCAGTTAGCAGCAAGCTCAGGGGACGTCTCGGCAGAAGAGTTGCCGAATCAGAGCCTGTACACAGCATCGGGTCACATTGCGAACGGCGCCAGAAGGTCTGGGCTTCCATCATTTCTCCTGTCAATCACAACGGATGAGCAATTCTCCAGATTCGAATCTACAGATCTTCACTGTCCAGCCAAACATTGATTGGATTCCTGCGCCTCACAGAGTCGCGAGGGCTCCACCACGTGCACAATTGTTTAAATGATTGCATAACATCAAATGGCCAAAACTCCTTCGCACGGCATTCTATTACACACTAAAGAGAAGGCTAGGACATGCTCGTCATTCATGGTTAGATCGGTCGCTAAATTACTCTCTCATGATCCGTGCGGCTATGACGATGTTGGCCTGCTTCTGGTAAATTGTCTCAGATTGGGTGTCGTCAAGTTTGCGGATGGCTGGGTTTGTTAGTGTTG